CGTAATGTTGTATGCAGAAATTTAATACGGCAAATTTAAATATTACAAAAAGATTTTTGCTATCAGAATTGTAAGATTATCTACATAAAATGCTATTCCTAAAAACAGCACACTTCAGATTAGTGTTTATATCATAGATCTTTGACAATCCTTGACATTCTTGTATTCTAGAATACCGTGAAATTGGTGTAGATGTGGTTAGTGACCTTTAAAGATCGTAAGGCAATTCTGAAGAAAAAATCGAAATCATTCTTAAATATTGTAACCTTTTATTAAATTTTGATTATTAAAACTCTTTTTTTTTTAAAGATTTTATTACTACAAAACGTAAAAATTTCGTTTAAAACACTTTAAAAGTGAAAATTTTTAACAAGAGATCTGATATAAAACATGACACATAAATAGTATTAGAATCAAATAAAATTATAATTTATCTTTAATAAATATATTAATATTATAAGAAACAAATGGAAAAATATTAAAATAAAATTTATATTTTATTTCGTTGTAAAATTAAAATTACGTAGCACTCAAAATGTCTAAAGAATGTAGCAAATGTCAATTATTTTACAATTTTAGAAATTTTACAAGCAGTTTTCTATTCTTTTATAGCTTTAAAATACAAATTTATCGTGACAGTTATTTCACTTATTTTACAGAGAATTTAAGATAAGATGTCTTCTAATGAGCGGTGATAGAAGTCTCTAGAGATCTAATTTTGAAACTTCATCGATTTATTTTATTTCCTTTTTTTTAAAAAAAAAAAGAGAGAGAGAAACTAAAAGTTGTTCAATCAATAAACAAAGTACAAAGATTATTTTCTATAGTTTATAAAATATATTTATTTTGTAAATGTTCTGTATTATTGTTAATAAATATTTGATTTTATACGATAGCATTAGTATAATTGGATTATTTTCTCTCATATCTCATAGATCTTTCCTTATAAAACTAATTTAATTATATCTAATAGCTTCGTAAATTATAATTATAAAATAAATAAAATTAATTACTAAAACACAGTCCAACCCTTCAATAACGGCCACCTTTAAACAGTGGCCATTTTTAACTTGCTTACAAATTAATCTGTAAACAAATACTATTTTTAAAAAACTTTTAATAATTAACCTCTGAACAACGGCCATTGACGGGAGTATTAAAAGACGGCCGTTGTTTGGAGGTTCGATTGTATTATTATTATTATTATTTTCACAAATATGAAGATTTACGTTAAAAATTATTGATAGTATTTCTATTATAATTAACAATTCGATTTAAAAAAAAAGATGTATTAGATTCGTACAGGTTATCAACAGGTTAATTTTGGGAATAAATAATTCCTGTCACGAATTAGTTTTATAAATTATTGTTATAATTAAGCTTTGATAGAGTTTGTTGTAAAATTAATGGGATAACATGAATTACAGTAACGTCGGCATAATTCGTAACCAAAGATAATTCGTCAATTTTATTTGAATCGATCTGTTTAGAGTTCTCTTAAATCGTTTGATTAATGTAAAAAATATTATTATTATTTTAACAAATTTGTATAATTTCGACTAAATTTTAAATGTATTTGCTATTTTAAGAATAAATTTATGCTTTGAAACTTCATTACACAATAATTCACAGTAAAAAACAAAATGTAAGCTCGTTTCTTCACAATATTATAAATTTCTACGTCAGTCTGACGTAATTTTTACATTTTTTTGTAACGATGACGTCAGTCTGACGCAATTTTTACATTTTTTTTGTAACGATGACGTCAGTCTGACGTAACAATGTAATCGTTCTAACAAAACGAATGAATCTAAAAATACAGAATATTCCAGTAATGTATACACATTTTAATTATGTTTATATTCTTAATTTTTAATTTAATAATTTTATAATTTACATTATTCATTTCTAATTTCAATTTTTATCCGAAAATGAAAACATTTTACAGAATTATGGGTTGATAATATGTGTATACAGTTTTTTAGCATCGAGTGCTTATATGGGTCCCGAGAATAGAGGGCCGTGGCGCGTTATCTTATGGGCAAAAAAAGTAGGGTTTGGGGCCCTACCAAGCAGAGCTCCAAACCAATCTTTTATAAGAAAATATTTCCGCAAAAAATTTTCTCGAAGAAAAATGCTTGAAGTCAACGCTGTAATGGGGCCCTTAATTCAAAATTTTCCTGGACCCCATGAAGCTATAAAGCGTCAATGATAAAACGGGCCCCCCTTTTTCCATTCAGGGAGCCTTTCGCGATATATATATATTCTGTTAGTAAAATAACATCAATTTATAGGGATAGGGAACACTAGGGCTTCTAAGGTTTTTAAGTCACTGTACTTTTAGGATACCCTGTACACTCGTTTTATTAGTATGATGTACACTTTCTCTGCATCATTCCTATATATATATATATATATATATATTTACAGTGAGCAGAATAAAAACTTTATATAGATATTTGTAACTTTTCTTGAATTCTCAATTCATACAGGTCAATCAATAGGACAAAATAGAATATGTTTAGTTTAAAAAAAAATAACCGAATAAAACTAAAATTCTGTGTGTATAGTTGAAAAGAAGAGGGAAAGGGTGAAAAAAAGGTGCTAGAATGCTCATCGATCACTAATTATAAAAGGAAGAGAAGCATTCACCATATCGTAAACAGTAACCTCGCTTCCTTTCATCTCGAGAAAGTTAGAGTTTGTAAAGATTGATTAAACAAAACAATCCATTTTAGTGAAATCGTTAAACAAAAAACTCTGCTATCTTACTGCTTGGATTGGCGATTTTCAAAACATTAATTGAGGAATGAGCGATGGGACAAAATATAGTTTGATACATTAAAAAAAAAAAAGGAAGAAGGGGGAAAAATGAAAGATAGGAAAGCGAAACACCTCTTTTAGATATAATATTTCATCATTTATTTCAAGCAAAAGTAAAATTCTTTTTTTAAGTCAGAATTTATAAACTTTTATAAATGAAATTGTTACATTACTTTATATATTTTAATTAAAATCTTTAATTATAAAAATACAAATTATCAATGTTTATAATAAGTTTCATTATGGGTTTAGTTAGAGTTTACGTAACTTTTCATTGATTTAATCTAGAGATAAACATGTTAGGACCCGTGTTCGAGGCCCGCCAATATGTATGATACGTGCTCTTATGCCCCCCTTTCCNCATGATATTTAGCCTTATTATACTCTGTAACATTTTTGTACATGTACAAATATAATGATGATAATATTTTTATATGTATGTACAGTACATGGGCATCCATAGAGGCAGTGAGGGGGCAAAGCTTGGAGACAAGTAATTACATTAAAATTATAACAGAAATATTAAAAAATATATATATTTATTACATCCTAAAATATATTTTTATGATACCTTAAATCATGTTAAATAAGCATTTTTTAAAAATTATTTTTATAACAATAAAATATACATTTCAGTTAGAAGGTAATGTTAATAATTGCTTGATTTTTGTATTTAATTTAACTTTCTAATTTATATCATTTTTGAATTAGCAGAAAATGTACTGTACTTCTCGGTATTGACTTAATTTCATTTGAATATAATTAAGAAAATGCTTTTAATGTGACATTATTATAAATCTTCGCGAATTTATTCTAATTTTAATAAAGTTTAGAAGTTGCAATACGTCCTTGTAGAATATTTATCTGACAAAATAGCTCGAGGAACTAATTTGAAAGATGCTGAAATTTACTGTATATTTTAATTCGTATTTACTACATAAAATTTATTTTATCATCTCCGTAGAATAAGTTATTTATATTTTCTGCCTCTTATTTGTAACTTGAAGTATTTATTTATTTTTTATCATGTTAATTAAGTCACTTTAAATTACTTGTTTTGTTTCTGTATAAACCAGGACAGTGGCGCGTTACAGCTTTATGGGGCTTAGGAAAATTTGAATTTAGGGGATCCCATGTACAGTGTTGGCTTCACACACTTTTCTTCGAGGAATTTTTGGGGATAGGTTGTGCCTCCTGTCGGTGGGGGACCCAGGAAATTGCCCTTTTTGTCCATCGGATAACGTGCCATCGAATTAAGAGTTCCTAAGCTTTTGAATGTGGATCCCTTCAAGTCTCCTCGACCTTTTTTTAAAGCATTGTCAACATTAATTCGTTAATTACGTCAATTATTTTATATCTATTGGAAACATTTTATTTCCGCTATTAATTAATACGAAGGTTTGAAGTGATTGTTCTTAAATCTCTCCAACAAAAGATGTGAGAAGAATTTTTCCTTTCCTAATTGGATAAGTTCACTCGAGACAACAGGATTTTAATCATCGTAGTTGATACTTTTGCTTAAATTATTTTCTCAAATAACAATCATAAAATTAATAGATAATGAGTAAAATATTTTTGATACTTATCGCATTATTACGAGTAATTAATTGGCATAAATGACCGAAATGAGATAATTCTCATATGTTCTTTTGCTGATACATTCTTCTGTTCGACTGTTCCATTATCGGAAAAAGCTTTACCCCAAACAACATAAATGGATACTTCTACCCCATTATTGGGAGGAGCTTCTCTTCCATCATTGAAAGGGGCACTCCGCCTCATACAGAGATGGAAGTAGAGTCGATCCTTCATTAACTTTCGAATCAATGTCATACATATACGAGGTATTTTCAAGCCAGAAGAAAGAAGTAAAGAAGAGATAAATCCAACTAATCGAAGTACAAAACCTCTGTGAACACTATCAGTTTATACCCTTGTTTGGCATTAAATTTACATTTACTTCTTTTTTTATGACCGAAGAAAGATTCTCAATCATAATTAGATGTAAAAATTTACATAAAATATATATTTTGTTAGCAAATATTGACATTCTAGTCTGTTCCTCCCGCTTTAGGAATGCTTACAAGCAATTTAAAAAAAAACATTTATTAATATTATTTTATTATTAATAATTTGAAAATATTTTCTGGAGAATTTATCAAATATCAAACGTTGTAAACAGGTTCAAGGTGTTCAACAAGTCCGACTGTCACGCTGAAGAATCAAAATGGCGAAATAAACGATGCAAATGGATGGGAGACTAATGCATATCGACGACAAGTTGAAAATCTTCACGACGAATTGGCAAAGGCCCAGCAAACCATTGAAACACTTCAAGAGAGAGAAAAAAAGATGAAGGAGAGGTAAGTTAAAAGAAATGATTCGAATCTATACTAAAGAAATTCGTCATTATAAGTGACATTTGAGAGAATGAATCGAGTGATGGCTTCAAATTCGACACTTTTTTTTGCGGTATAAAGTAAATAAAATTGATTCCTAAACTCTAAAAAAGGATCGTTTGATAGTATTTTGTTGTAGTAAATTTCTTTCTTCCTACTAAACATTTTACAATGGCTCTAAAGAAGGTTTCTTCATTCATTCATCTTCTTCAACTACGATGAATTTCCATTTTAGAAGTTACATAAGTTTATTCAATACTTTAAAATATCTTCATAAGAAGTATTTTTTTTAACTAATAAAATTGATTTTATTTTCGTTTAATTTCAAAATTAAAGATTAGAAACGAAGGAGAAATTAATTACAGGTGAAAAGGTGTGAATAAAATAAAGCGATTTTTGTTTTTAGCGTTAGCGACAGATATTAATCGCATTGGAGCGAATTGTGTTAAGAGTTTTAACAGTTATTGAAAGACGAGTGCTATCCTGATACCTAACTTTTCAATGTCTTTTTGGCATAAAAGATTTATTAAACAAATCGTTGGGAACTCTGCACCATCTGTACTGACACAATGATTTATTTTAACAGCGCGCCATATGTCGCTTCTAAGTCTTTACGCTACAGTAAAATCAAGTTAAAGTTTTCTTTGTAAATTAATGGGAAATTTAGCTTTTCTTACAAAACTAAAAGGAAAAGAGGAAGGAAAAAAAAAGGGAAACTGCTTGATGATTAAAATAACATTGTTTCATAATAGCAAACACTTCAAAAAATGTTTATGAATTTAACATCGCTTGTCTCTTGTATCTTACAAAGTATTAAAGAAATTTAAAAAATTAAATGATCATTTATCAATATTAAATTTAATTAAATTATATAAATCGTTAAATTTTATATAAAAGAAACATAAAATTTGATGAAACAAAAAAAAAAAAAAAACATATAGTTAAATATATGTATATAAAATATTTAAACGATGTCTACATTGTTTAAATATTCGTTACACTTTATTACAGTAAAATTTAAAGGGGGTATACAACCCAATTTCTTTAATTAAGCGGTAAATTCCTAGTTAGAAAAACAAAGGTGAGGGGAACAATAGAAATAAGATAAAATATGTGAATAAATTTGGAGTACGTTTATCTTGCAGGCTTGCTGAACAAGCACAGAAGATGTTGGAGCGAGGCATGCGTTTTGAGAACGTTTCTCTTGGTGAGAAACGTCCAACAGCGCTGATCCGTCGCTATGGAAATCTTTATGCCCAAGCACGAGTCGATACTCTAGATGCATTGGACAGTCTTCCAGAACTTAGACATGCAGATGAATTAAAATCCAAGCTGTTATTCTCCGTTGTTGTCGTAAGTACCCTTATAACCATCAGCCATTATTTATTTATCTCCTTCACTTTCATCCATACATTTATGACGACATTTCTATTGTCTTCCCAAGTAAATAAATAAATCTTTCTATCATGATAAAACCAATAAAATATTTTTAAAAAAATGTTTCTTAAATAATAGATATATCGTGTAAAATTATTATAATTATTATTATTTAATTATTGTACGTACACCTAATAATAATATCATTATATGTAATTAATGAGGGAATTAAAATAACAGTGATTGTGTTATAGCTTAACAACATATCTCGTCTTGGTTAAATTATTATGTTATTAGAGCAAAGATTAATTGAGTTCTATTAATATCTCGATTAATTGCATTGTGAGTTGTTTATTCTGTAAATGTCATTCTAAACAATGATTAAATTATACATTAAAAATGTTTTTTTTTAATATTTTTAATTGTTTTTAAAATTATAAATTTAATTGTATTTATTTATTTATTTATTGTATGACTTGAAATATTTAATTTAATAAAATTCTTCAAATTTTATAAACATTTATACTGTTAAATTAAAGAATTTTATTAGTTTATTTTGTCGAAAATTTTAATGTTTATTTCTAAATACCAGTCGACCCCCCTATAACACTGTTGATTTTTCCATTTTATATGAATTCCATGTTGTACGAGTCAATTGGATTTTACAAATAATGAGCCATTCATAGCCCGGCACACATATTTGTAACATCTAAGTGACTCGTACAACATGGGATTCATATAAAACGGAAAAATCAACAGTGTTATAGGGGGGTCGACTGGTATTATTTTTTAGAAAAGGAAATTTTTTATATTATATAATAATTATTATTTTTTTTCAATAATTTATTCCTAATATCTAATTCGAATTCAATAACTACGATAGATTATATATAAATAAAAATATTCTTACGATTGATGAAGATGGGATGAAAGTGTGAGTGAGATATCTGACACTTATACCATAGATTAACCCCTATATTCTCATTGCACACGCGATAAAGATATTGATGAGCCGATTACGTTAGCACAGCCTATTCAGTGATAAACTTTTATCCTTTGGCATCACGAAAATAGAGCAATAAGCGATTTAAATCTAATATTTTGGTACTAACATTCAATTCCAAACATCAGCTTCTTTTTATAAGTATAACGTTATTATATCCCAAATTGAATGTGTTATAAAATATCAGAATCTGTCTAAAACTAAAACCTGCCTAAACGAGAAAAATCTGAATGGAACGTTCCCGTTTTAGGCAAGTTTTTACTGTAGTTTACTCTATTAAAGTGATTGCTTTTAAAGACATAAAACATAAGTTTTTTTTTATAAGTAAAATTTATCTATTTTAAAAGATTTTAGAGTTTAAATTAGATAATTAATGCTTCTAAATGTATAAATTTTATCAAAGATGAACTGGCGTAGTACCATTATCTGCTTTCTTAACAGGTCACTCAACTTTACTAAACAATAGAGGCGTTATGAATTATGATATATTGAATTATTATCTTAATGATGAAAGGTCGCTATCGTTATATTTCATCGCTAACATCCTGAAATTTTTGAGAAATTCATTAATCATTCTTTGATTTAAAACTTTAATGGCATAGTTTCTAAAGGTGTTTTAGACGATTTTGTTTTAGTCTATTCTCGATTAAATGATTATTATAATTAATTATAATGTATCTTTTTTTTAAAAAAATTACAGCTGGCTTTTCGGTCTATACAGAACACAATTACAGATATCAAATCAAATGTTCGACGAATACTCCAGATGTCAGAACCCATTTGTGAAAGAGAAATGATAACAGATCCTACAGCTCGAGATTTAGAAATGAGTGTTGCTTGTTACTTACGTACTACAGTGGATAGATTCGAAATACGAAAAAATATCGAGGTGTGTATTAAAATATTAACTTAATAATAGTTTAATATACAATTTTCTTTCGTGTAAATACTCGTATAATTTTAATTATACAGTTGTTCTATAATATAATTACACCAGAGTATAACTTAAGGATACAAAGAATTGTTTTTATTTATGCCCATAACTTTTTTACTATGGAAAAATATTTATTATAATAAGTCTTATTAATAAACAAGATCCAAGTAGATAATATATATATATATATACAGAAATGTAAAACAGTAAGGGAATAGAGGTAAAAAGAATTAATTTTAAACTATTATTTACTGTTTATTTTATTTTATTTTATTTTATTTTTTTTGGTATGTCAGTCCTTGGACTAGTTTGTGGTTATAAAATTCAATGAAGTAGCCACCCTCTTGATAGGCACGAAATTTGTAGCGTGAAGTTTCGCGGATTTCTCTAAGCATCGAGTTATAGTTATTGCTGTTGTAGTTGTTAGAGTATTTGTTATTATTAAAGTAAAATAGAAAAATATTTGTTTGTAGTCGATATAATATTAAACACTTACATTTCTACATAATAAATTAATTTAGTTTTAATTTTAACTATTTTAAATGAATAATAATGTTATGAAAAATGACAATAACCCTCCATTGTTAATAATATTTTTTCACTTTTTTTTTGAAGGTTCCTATCTGTAAATTACATTTTTATACTTAAAATTATATATTATTTACAATAAAATCTGCAGAATTAATTAAAAATATTGTTGTTGTCATAAGACACGTCATTTATTAACTTTAAATTATTATTATTATTATTATTATTATTTGAATTTTAATCAATTTTGAAAATGTTCTTTGCTCTTTAAGAATTTGAATACAAATTTATTATATGTTAAAATCTATTTTATTATAAATATTTTTCAAAGATAACAAATATATTCCATTTTTTATCTATATACATCTTATCAATAAATGAATAATACCTTGAACTGAATTAATGGATGCTCGAATTTATCTTTCAGATGTTGGATAGACTTTATTGACATTCCAATTGGATACTTAACTTACAAATTCCTGATAAGTTAGTAAAGTTGCTTTGATGCCCAAATCAATTTGATTAAATCCGAAACGTTCCTCATCCAAGAAAATAGAATAGTGATATTACCAATTGAAACAGAAAATGAATTTTTTTCCCCCTTCTATCTAAAGATTATATTTAAGTCTTTCAATCAATTCAATCTTTCTATCTCTTGCAAACTGCTTAAAGTTCTTCCATTTCAATCAATTATTTCTTAGTGTTCCATTTTCGTCGTTCGAAATACAATCTTTACTGTAATTGGATGTAGCAGATGGTAACCAAGATCCTATTGAACCCATGGCTTTTGTGTCCAAAATTTATCTTGTCCACTAGCATAAACTTTTACTCTACAACGAAACATTTCAATTTTTCAATAAGTAAATTTCATCACTTATTTATTAGGAATTTATTCGAATTTAATAATTGCATATACACAAATATTTTAATTAGTTTAAGGCAGAGTCGTATCACGTGTTAATTACTGTGGGGCCTCCAAGATGGCGCCCGAGGACCATCCTCGCACAATCTCTTCTTGTCTCCCTTAGTTATATCTCTTGTTTAAGAGATAACTAAATAAGTACCCTTAGCTACATTCAATAAAAATAATTAGAAAGTGAAAAATTAAATAGAAAAAAAAATATTGAAAATAAATTGCAATAAAATTAAAAAATTTTAAAGAAAATAAAAGAAAAATAAAACGACTAACAGATTAAAAAAATAATTAAATTAATCAAAGAGAAAGTGGGAATAAAAAAGAGATAAAGTGCAATTCAGTATTAAAATATGCGAAAAGTCGATAATGTACAGTACTTATACTAAAGTATCTTGGTGAGATTGAAATATATGTAAAAGATAATTTTCTGAAGGAGAAAATGGAAGAATATTAATAACAAAAAGCGAAGAAAATATCCTTTATTATATATGATAACGAGAAAAATCAAATTATTCGAAATTAAATAATTTGTTCAGAACAAAAAAAAGATTCGTTCATTAAGGTAAAAAGTGAAAAATAAAAGTTTATGATATAAAAAAAATATTTTTTTTTTGAATAAAATAAAATGATCAAAACATGAATATTTTTATTTAAATTTTATTTGAGAAAAAAACTAATTTAAAAAAATTAAAGTTGTTCGGAAAAGTTCTTAAAAAATAAGAAATTTTGTACTTAGAGAGAGAGAGAGAAGGAGAGAAGGAGGAGGAGGAGGAGGATGAAAAAATTCAATGCTTTTACATTGAGACATTTGAGAGTTTGTAGCAAATGAAGATTGATTAGGAAGGTGTTTTGCGCTCTCAACGTGTTTTATTGATGATTCTAAATGCGGCTGTTTGATCTTTTAACTTTATTTTATTCAAAGTGAGCACACGTATAAGCTTGTTAACATTTAAACTCATTATCATAATCCATACCTTTCTACAAAATTGTATTTTTTTTTTCTATTTTATGTTTTAAATATTTATATTTAAATATATTATAATTATCTTAAAAATACTCTACGAAATTTAATTTAAACTTAATTAATTTTTAAAGAAATTTTTACTGAAAATATATATTTTATTCGTATCTAAACAAATGAAGAATAAAGAAGATTTAACGTTACATATATCAAAATTATAATTATCAATTTGAAAATTACACGAGGAGTTCGCTGTATAAATTTAATTATTTATTTAAAAAAAAAAACAAAATATATTCTCATTACTGCTTGCAGCATTTCCAAAGTTAGCATTAAAATCGAGTGAGTGATATATCTAAATATTTGGAAAATTGTGGAATTTAATGCAGTCATTTAGTAAGTTGATTGAAGCAACTTTCTCTCCGGGTATTCTACAATAAGGAAAATTTGTCTGGACAATATTTTTCTTTAGAAATATATAAATCAAGTGTTGATTGTGCTAATCTCATTTCCTTTAATACATAAGTCTTTTGGCATAAAACTGTATCTTTCTAAGAGAATAAACATTAAATATTGCAAGCATTTCTTGGCATACTTTTTAATTGAAGAGCCATATACAATTACAGAAATAAATAGTGATTTTTGTGTTATATTAAATATAAAATCGCTTGATTTGTTGATTGATTAATGGAACAAATACTCGGGCGATCTGCCAAGAGGAAATAGATCGCTTCCCCCTTTGCCATAGAAAGTTCTTCTTCCGGAGAGGACTTTCTACACGTTAACACGTGAAGAAAACACAGTATATTTCACCTGATTAGTCCATTGAAGAGGAACCAATGTTTGGTAGTTTTATCCATTCGTCCACTTGGTGGGCAAAATTGCTTAGTATAAAGATTTAAATATTTACTTAATAATTGTTAACAATTTGCAATCATATTACGAAAACGTCAAAGCATTATTTTAAATAGTTAATGATTAGAAAATGGCTTAAGATTTGATATTGTTTCTCTTCAGAATAAAAATTCCAAAATCCAAATTTGAGATTGGAGAAAACAGTTTCCTGAAAGGTTTACCATAGAAATTTGGATTCAGTGTCAGAATCCTTGATCTTGTCCATCTATTATATTATATACAGTGCAAGACGTTATTTTATCTCTCTACTACGAAACATTCGAAAAACCAATATGCCACGTAAAGTCCAAAATATCCAAGTTATTAGAATTGTAAAATAACATACTCTTTTCTATACATCAGTATTTATTTCTTAGTTAAATTTTAGTTATATTTTTTAAAGAAAAGATTTTTTTTTCATAGACTTATCTGCAGTGAAATACGCCAAAATTGAAAGAAATATAAATATAAATTTCACGGTTGAAAATGAAAAAAAAAATTTTTTTTTTGACTTTATTTCACTTTAAATGTCCCTTATAATGAGACACCGTCGTGTAATCATTTCAAATTTAACCAATTAATTCGAAAAAATCCTATTTTTATGTACATATCTCCGATAAAAAGAGTAAACTATTCTCATTTAGCCTATACTTTCTTTTATTTTGAAGTTATTTTTTAAAGATAATAATAGACAATTCTTTTCATCTTTTGATAATTCACAATCATTAAAATGAGAAAGAAAATAGATTGAAACTGCTTCCTTTTTTGTCAAATTAATTCTTTTAGTGACGTTTCGTATTTCAGTGTTTATCATCATCATCATCATCATAAATTATAAAAAAAAATTAATAGTTATAAGTAATCGAGGCGACCCAAATGTCAGTTAATAACCACTGTAAAGATTAAATTTCTCCCTTATTTTCGATAAGAAAAACACGTTATAATCTCAGTATTCGATTGATAAAACTTGACACAAGGTTAACTAATTTTTGGGCCGCCTTATATTATTATTATTAAAAAAAAAATTTGATTAGATTATTAAATCGATGCTCCAAGTAACATTTTCTAATTATTAAATTCTATTTTTATAGGAGGTGTGTACTCAAATTTGGGCAACATTATACGATTATCCATGCCTGAAAAAATGCGACGGACTAATCCAATACGTAAAGGATTGTGTCCGATTGGCTTGGGGTTTGTGTAATCAGACTCCACCCTTTTTTATCGAGTACGAAGCACGAATATTTCGACGTGACATGCACGTTCGTTTTCACACGTCAAACCAAGAATCAGAACACATTAAAACATATCTTTGGCCCGCTTTATTAGAAGGAAAGAACGGTCCTTGCGTTCATAAAGGGGTTGTAATTACGTGAGAAGATAATTATTATCTACGTTCTTTTCTATTCTCTTCATATAGTAAAACGTATTTGTATCTATTAACTTAGTCAATGTCGAAGTGTACTTAAATTAGTGAAGGCACGGATCGAATTTATATACGATTTGTCATAAATATTAAGAGATCAATTTAAAAAAAAAAAATGGAAAACGACGTCTAATTAGCGTATTATATTAATAAATTTATCAATTGTTTTTTTTTTTAAAAAAAGAAATATTAACTAAATTTAATTCTTTACTAAGTTTTATTATCTATTTTATTGTGATACTAAAATTTCATATGATATACAACGAATAATACTGGTTTATATTACAGTATTTTATTATTAATCACCTGTTTTAATATTTTAAATAAATAAATAAAAAGATCCAGTTTATAACATAAAAAAACGCGTTATATTAATTAATTAATTAAAATTTTTTGATATAAACTTCATATAGACTATACTTTAAGAAAACCTTTATATAGATTGTATATAGCCTATGGATAATATAATAATAATTTCAATAAAATTCATTTGAAGTATGTTTTCTATAGGATTAAATGCATATCGTATATATAAAAAATAAATATTTAAATAAATAAAATAAAATATGCAATTAATATTCTAAGCATATCACGAAGAAAAATAATAATATTTTAAGAATCTATAATAATATGAATATTTCTTTTGTTAAATTTTTTCAAAAGAATGAGATAAATTCGTGATGGTGACCGTCAGAATTCAAATTAGTAGTTAAAATAATGGAAAAATATCAAGTGTTTTACTAATAAATTCAATTTATTTGTAACTTAAAATGAGGAAAAAATATATATATATATATATACATATATACATATACACTTGTTTAATTGTCATTGTCGTCTCTCTATCAACAATGTATTGTCGAGTTGTCTTAATTATGTCACATTAGGGGAAAAAAAATTGTAATTTTCTTAAAAAAATAAATAAATAAATAAATAAAATATATCAGGGAATATTTTAGTGTTGACCCACCGATTGTTTTATTATAAAACTGTGTGTGTGACGTTATTGTATATAGGGGTATACAATACTGATTTTTAAACGAATTGTTTCCTTCTGTTAATAATGTTGATGCACTTCTTAAATAATTTTATATCTAATAACTGCAAAAATATATTAATCACGTGTATTGTTTTCAAATGAGAAACGATTAAAATTGATTAAAACTAACAAAAAGTTTTCCTTTTGTTTTGATTTTATATTTAAAAAATCGGTCCATTCTAAAGGGAAATATCTAATTAAAATGTCGAGATTTTCTTGAATTTATGCGTAATATATAAATTATAAAAATGTATTTATTAGATTTTATGACTTGTTAGCGAAGAATTTTATAAAGATTTATATATACCATAAAGTATTATTTTTCTTTATCGACTTTTTGGTAATGTTTATGATGAATCCGTTGAAGTTATCTTCGTAAATTAATTTAATTAGCAAGTTTATGGTTACAACTTTTGGTAAATGCTTCCTACGTTAAGAGAATTTACAAAAATTTCATTTAGATAATTTACTAATTAAATAGAAATACAGAAAAACCTGTGTAAGCCGGACTAGACCCTATCGAATTAGACCGTTTTAGACAGGTTTTACTCTATCAACATTTAAAAAATAATTAAAATTCTATCAAGTTTGATAAGAAAAATACGCCATTTTAACTCAACAACACAAAACAATACGTGGTTAACTGATTTTCGGACCACCCTGTAGTTTAATTCGTGTTAAAATATATTCGACGTTTAAATCTTTATATATTTATTTTAAATTAAACGAAGAAATTAGCGTATTAAATAAATATTTCTCTTAAAATAAACGATTCCAAATTACTTTTTCAAAGTTTTAATTACGAAAATGCCCGGAAAATCGATATAAAACTTAATATAAATTGTCTTAACACGTGATAATGTTAAGCAAAAAANTATTTTAGTAAAAACTATAAAATAAAAAAGAAATTAAGAATCATTCAGAAAAGTTTTTCGTTAGAATAAGAAGTAAATATACCTTGGTAATAATCTTCCTGGCAAAATTCCAACTGAAGTTCGTTATTCAATTCTTATTTTTAGACAAAAAAAAAAAATCATTTCTTTTCATATGAAAAATATTCGATGTTGTTGGCACTTCGTTTCATTCATCACCTGAAGCAAAAATTTAAAAAAAAAATACATAAAGAAAAATCACTGTCTCTTTCAATTAATTGGTATCTTGTGTCTATCAAGAATTAAGTTTTTTATAGCCGAAAAAACAAACTAATAACATTAAAAAAAGTTGAATTCTCCTTCCTTAATCATATCCATAGAAATAATATAATAAAACAATTACTCTATGTGCTGTAAACTTATTTGTTTTGTAACGTTTTTATATACGGTAGGTAGGATTATCGAGTGTAGGATTAACAAACTTCTACTATATATAGTTTGGTATATAAACTAGTGATTGTAGTTTAGGACCTCACAATTACTATACATGTATCTTTATTTGGTAAAGGGGAAGGGCCTGATATATGGGTAATAACTTAAGACCACAACAAGTCTTAAGTAATTCCCAATGAAATTTAAAGTTGTTATTATTATAAAATACTGTATAATGTTATAATTTCTTTAATATGCTATACAGCAGTTCAATATAAATGATTTAGACGAGATTCAATATAACTCTGTCACTAACAAATGTGACTTAGAAATGAATTGAAAGCACGTCACAATAATATATCCCTGACAAAAAGTAAACGTCATCTAGGAGGTGTGTACTCAAATTTGGGCAACATTATACGATTATCCATGCCTGAAAAAATGCGACGGACTAATCCAATACGTAAAGGATTGTGTCCGATTGGCTTGGGGTTTGTGTAATCAGACTCCACCCTTTTTTATCGAGTACGAAGCACGAATATTTCGACGTGACATGCACGTTCGTTTTCACACGTCAAACCAAGAATCAGAACACATCAAAACATATCTTTGGCCCGCTTTATTAGAAGGAAAGAACGGTCCTTGCGTTCATAAAGGGGTTGTAATTACGTGAGAAGATAATTATTATCTACGTTCTTTTCTATTCTCTTCATATAGTAAAACGTATTTGTATCTATTAACTTAGTCAATGTCGAAGTGTACTTAAATTAGTGAAGGCACGGATCGAATTTATATACGATTTGTCATAAATATTAAGAGATCAATTTAAAAAAAAAAAAATGGAAAACGACGTCTAATTAGCGTATTATATTAATAAATTTATCAATTGTTTTTTTTTTTAAAAAAAGAAATATTAACTAAATTTAATTCTTTACTAAGTTTTATTATCTATTTTATTGTGATACTAAAATTTCATATGATATACAACGAATAATACTGGTTTATATTACAGTATTTTATTATTAATCACCTGTTTTAATATTTTAAAAAAATAAATAAAAAGATCCCCGTTGTTGTCGTAAGTACCCTTA